GGCACCCATTTACCTTCTGTTACTCCAAATTCTTCCATCAATAGTTACTGTTGTTGTACTTCTTTCTGTGTTTACAACATTTTCCTTCCAGAAATAATTAGGAAATATTATTAACCAAGACACCCAGCTGACAATATGGCTCTATCTTATGTGTTCTTGGCATGGAGAATTCAGCAGCTAATTTAAGTGTAATGATTTAGGAAAATACAGAAGAGGAAAGTCGTTATGACTTGGAAAGCAAACAATCGAGGTTGATGTAAAAGAATCGTGACAACGGAAATGGCTAACTTTTGGTCTGTACGTGTATATAATATTTATAATTTAAGACTGATATAATCCAAACATATTTCCCACTTGGGCTGTCTCGTCTTAACATGTTCTTCAGTTCAGGCCTTCCCAAACAACCTAGAAAACTTCATGTATTTTCCTTCATGTTTATGTAGAATATTAATCTAAAATAACTTTCCTGTCTATTTCCTTATTGTTCCTCACTACAGCATTTTGATGAATGGGCAAGATAATTATTAGCATGCCCATAAACCAATAAAAGAAACTGAACAACGGACGCTGATCCCAGGCTCATCGGTATGTCCTCCACAGTGCCCTGTAAACCCCTGTGCTGCTAATAATTTTTACTCCAGACTGATCTCCATTTCCTACTTTGTAAGTTAAAATTTCTACCCTCATGCCAGTTGTTGTGTACTCAATGATTTTAAACGAATCTTTACGATAGCTTAAGAAAACCTTGATTAGAAAGCTCAAGAGCCTGCAAATCATTCACTCAATTTCAAAGCTAAATGAAAAAATTGTGGCTATTAGCCTTATTGCTTCCTCTTGTTATCCCTTTTTGTTCTTTACTATAGATAACTGAGAGCTCACTGAATTTTGTGATGTTATTAGACTTTTTCAATGATTTGCTTTTATGAAGCCCAACTGAAGTCATGTAATTGAAAAAAGCATGTAACAAAAATCTACATCAAAAGTCTAATTAGGTAAATACACACACATATTTTTGGTACTAGCTGTGGGTGAATAGCTCATATTTTAAATATCCTGATTGAAGATCGAGTAGTATGGTAAAGAATAACACAGAAAAAACTGAGAAAGAGAAAAACCACGATTTAAAACCAGATGTCCACAGTAATAGTGTGAAACCACAGGCTCATGGTGAGGATGTACAGAAGTGGTTTTAAGTCCCGTCTTTGGTGAAAATCTCTTTGGTGAAAGGGATTTTTCTCCTTTTGATTCCTACTGCAAAGATGTGAAAAATATTTCATGGTATCAAAAACAGATGTTCTGGAAGGAAAGTGTGGTAAAGATGCATTAGCACAGCCTGTGTAAGCTTGTCGAAGTGCTGTCACAGAGAGTAGAGCACCAACTTGGGCATCAGTAGATACTTCCTGAAGGAGACGTATCCGGAGGGACTTACTTTCCATCATATATGTGTGTTGACTTGCTAGGTCTCCTGTGAGACATTGTCACAACCCACGTGGCTTAAAGAAACTGAAATATCTATCTGTATGGTTCTGGGAGCCGGGAGCCCAAATCACCGTGTTGGCAGGGCTGTGCTCTCTGTGGGACTTAAGGGCAGTGTCTACCCTTTGCATCTTCCGGCTTTCTGTGGCTGCCCGCATTCCTGGGCTTGTGTCTGCGTGACTCCAACCTCTGCCTCCTGACTGCCCTGCCCCTTGCTGTTTTGTGTGTCTTCTCCTCTGTGCCATGTATGTCTCTCTCTCAAAGCCTCTCTCATGAGGGGCAGGTGCTAGCATTCAACATAAGACAAGGCAGTATCTCCTTGGATAAATTAGGGTAGGTCCCTCCTCTGAAGTTCCTTAGCGGAATCACTGACTTTGCCATAGAAAGGAACATGTACAGGTTCCGGGATTTGGGCCCTTGGCCTAGAATGCTCTATATGACAGAACTGTATTACCATACAACTCTGGGTCTCCAGTCTCCTCAAGCTGGCCTCTCATTTGTTATTACCTGTGCTGTCAGTAGAAAAGTTTGAATGCCTAAGGATGGCTTCCCATCTGAACTTGTTTAAGACATTCAACTCACTGTTGCCTGGACACTGGCATGAAAAAGAGAAGGGAGGTTCAGTATTACCCATGTGATTAGAACCCTGAGTGCCCCCTAGCAACCTGATTCTCCATGATTTCTGCTCACCAGGTTGCACTTGCACAAGGACGGAAACAGGTCTTCCTAGGAATATGGTGTCCTTCTTAAGACATATAGATCTTCTAGAATAATGGTTAACAGGTGGACGGTAAAATCAATTTATAATGGAGACACTGTAAGCCCAAATAACCATATTTTGGGAAAATATGTATTTAATTACCTAAATTTAACAGGGCATTGGAGCAAGGCTGAGAGTAAGACATGAGTGTTGAGATCTCAGGTAATATATATGAACCTGTAGACAAGGCTAAGTTCATGCTGCCCATGCACTCAGTTCCCGAGAATGAGTACCATAGTTAGAGTGGGTTTGTACCTTTCTTATTCTGGAAGTTCTTTCCACATGATATATTTTCCTGTGTTTTAATTTCCCTTGTTTGCATGGGCTATGGTCTGAATGTTCGTATCTTTCCAAAATCCATGTTGAAATCCAGACCCCGAGCATGATGATATTAGGAGCTGGAGACTCTGGGAGCTGAGTAGGTCATGAGGGGGAACCATCATGAATGGTATTAGCGTGCTTATGAAAGAGCCCTGAGAGAGCTCCTTAGGCCCTTCCTCCAAGTGGGGGTGTAATCAGAAGACAGCAGTCTGCAACCCAGAAGAGGGTCCTCACCAGAATCTGGCCATGCTGGCCCCCAGAACTTAGACTTCCAGCTTCCAGAGCTGTGAGAGATAAATGCTCACTTCTTAGAAGCCACCCTATCTGTGGTATTTTGTTATAGCAGCCCAAAGGGACTAAGGCAGCATGAATCACAGATTGTTCTACACAGTCCGCATCAATCTGTCCCTTTCAAAGGAATATTGAATTGGGAGCCAGAAGACCTGCCACCTGCTAACTGTGCAACCTGAGAACCATCACTTCCTGCCTCTTCTTCTTCTCAATGTTTCCATCTGTAAAATGGGAAACCGTGTAAATATCAATTTCACAGGACTAGTGTGTCCATCCAATGAGACAACACAGGGAAGTGCACTTTAAACTGTCTTTATGCAAATAGTACCGTACTCCCCACATCACATGACTGTGCTGTCTGGTTCTTTGTCTTTAGTCTAGAGTTTGTTATGCGGTCTTGTATTTTTTGAACACAGATTTTGTCTCCTTTTCACTATAACATTGTCAGTGTCACTAGGCCCACAACAGTAGCTCAACAAACTGTGATCTGGGTGGAGATAAGAACGTTGGCTGTGTGAGGCTTAAACCTCTGTTCTTTGCTCTCTGGTCAAGTTCTCAAACTCAGATGTGCAAAGGAATCACCCAAGGAGCAAGTTAAAAATGACCATTCTCTGGCTGCCGTTCAAAATCTCTACATTAGTAAAACATGGGACAGAGACCTGGAACCTGCAATTTAAAAAAAATCAAACAATATGGCCCATTATGAATTATGTTTATATTGTTACATCTCTGAAAGAGTGAAATGTCAAAAAAAATAATGTAAACATATTGTGTGATAGTCACAGATCTTAAGCAAAAAATGTTAGGTAATTTTTCAAAGAAGAATATAGTTATAGCTCCCATTTGGAAATACTATGCTTTCTTGTCTTTTTCTGTAATTCTGTTTGGCCTTGTGCCTTGTCACTGAATGACGTATTGACAATGATGCCAAGGGCTGAGTGAGAGCTCACTCACACTGGGCAGATACAACATCTGTTCCTTGACTATGACTTTGATCTCTGATTCTTGCCTTCCCCATTGCAACATGACTAGAACGTCCTTAGATCTCACAGGTTTGGCTGTAGCTGTGGCCAATCCACGTTACTTCCACAAAGCTGTGGTTCCTTTGGAATAGCCTCTGAATTCCCTCTCTCAGGTGCCTGGGTGGCTCAGGTGGTTAAGCATCTGCCTTTGGCTTGGGTCACGACCTCAGGGTCCTGGGATCAATCCCTGCAATGGGCTCCCTGCTCAGCAGGGAGTCTCCTTCTCCCTCTGCCTCTGCCCTTCCCCCCTCTGCTCATGCTCTCTCTCTCAAATAAATAAATAAAATCTAAAAAAATAAGTTTGAATCCCCTCCTTTCTCTCCCTCAAGAGACTAAATTGGTATGGATATTTGAAACGCACACCCCATGACTTCTGAGCGGACAGTAAGAAACACTGCGCTAGGAACAGACAAGGAGCAAATTACTCCAATTGTATTTTTATCAACTAAGCTCCATTTGTTGAACTAGAAGAGAGGAGGTGCTTTAAAATAAAGGAAGACAGAAGATGTGCAATAAAAGTTCTTGGGTGGGAGGAAATAGAATCTGGAGTTGGTTCACTTGAAATGCATCCCGGCAGTTTGATTGTGGAGCGGTGTTGAACCCTGAGCCCACATTCTGAGCAGAGCCGCCCGCCCCCAAGAACCATTGCCTTCTATGTCAGCCCCTGTTCTCGATGCTGTACATGCTTACCATGTTTGCTCTTGTGTCCTGCACCCAGCAACATGTGACGACACAGGACATTCATGTGGCTACGTGTTATCAACAGACTAAGCAATCACAAACCCATCTTGGTAGCCAACCACTACTCCCATTCTAGAATCAATTTGGGAGATCTGGGTGCAACTCCTGAAACATCTGAAGCAGGGCGGAGCTATTTAGGAAGACATGGAGGGCAGGCAGAGGCTTCAGATGGAAGACGTCTGCAACTAGGATGTTTTAATCCGATTTTGCATGCTACAGAGAGGCTTTTCTAAGCTGTCTCTACCAGATTTAGAATAACATGTCGATGACCCTTAACATCAGACTGGAGAAGTGAGACCCGGTGTCTAGAGAACGGAGAGGGGAATAACTAATCTTGAAAGAGGACTTCGGCTTGCAAAGACTTCAGAATGAATTAAATCGAGACTTACATTAAATCTTGAGTTACTTGTCTGCCTGGATCGTTTTTCTGCCAGTAGATCTTTGACTGTGTGCTTCACTCGTACGCCTTGATACACGCGTTTGCTGTAGTCTCCTGGGACTTAAGCAAATGGAACCAATGATCAAGGGTGGATGAAATGATAGGTTAACCTCCCCAGGGGATGTATTCAAGGACTCGTCATTGTGGTGTGGTTTGCTCATTAGAATGACAGACTTCTTGAATCTGAAGTGGCTTCAGTAGAAGTCAGTCACTTTCTTTGATAGAAACTTGGCCAAGCTCTACTTACCTGGAACACCCCCACCCTCTTCCACCTTCTACACAACAACTCTTCAGAATGTCTCTGTTTTTGTATCCTGATTTGTCAAGATTTATTCCAGGAAGGCTTACAATTTATGCTTTAGTTGCAAGATGAGGAATCGGATGCACCTTGAAATAATGCTTCTTACTACCTGATGCAAAAGTTTGATTTGCATGATTCAGTTTGCAGAGTGACAGCATTTCTGCCATATCATATTCCTACCTGATGCGGGTGAGCTGGTCAACCAGATTGATGTGGGTGTGCTGGTCAACCAGACTGCTTTAAGATTATGTTCCTAAGAAGAAAGCCATCTGTTTCTGTTTACTGCACCAAATTAAGCAGTTTTTATTATTGAAAATACAGTCTTTCTTTTTCTTTTTAAAAGATTTTATTTATTTATTTGACAGAGATCACAAGTAGGCAGAGAGGCAGGCAGAGAGAGAGAGGAGGAAGCAGGCTCCCTGCTGAGCAGAGAGCCCGACATGGGGCTTGATCCCAGGACCCTGGGATCATGACTTGAGCTGAAGGCAGAGGCTTTAACCCACTGAGCCACCCAGGCACCCGAAAATACAGTCTTTCAACATGGAGAGCTGCTGCTTTGAAACTAGGCTAAGGATAAGGGAAGAGACATTCATGACTTAACAAATATTTATTGAGTACTTATCAAACATATTAGTATGCTCGGTAATTAACCTGTATTATTTCATTTGATCCATTTTATGAATGAAGAGACTGAGGTCTGGGGCTGAATTATTTGCCAGTGTCTCATAGCTGCTAATAAGCAATGGAGTTGGGATCCAGACTCAGGTTGGATTCTAGCTCTAATAACTGGGAACATTTGCTGTTTTGACTGTGATGAAATTAACAGAGAGATAACAGACTATAGAGAAGAAATTTTCCCCAAGATTCTGAAATTGGCAACACTGCTCTTAGGGATGGTGAATTCCTTGTCATGGAGGACAGTCAAGAAAAGACAGGAGAACCTTCTGTTTGGACAACTACAGAAGCATTCAAGCACTGAATCGCAGCCAAACTGCAGGAACTAGAAGATACTTTCTAACTGTGAGATCATGGTTCCATAGTAGGTTGGATGGTTTCAGTTCATTTTAATTGAGCTGTTGCACTCACTAGCGATTTCAGCTGGCACAGAATTCAGCATCAGTATGCATGGCGAAAGGTAGTCACACGTATATGTGTGGGCATGTTACCAAAAAAATTCTCGAATCTGGTTAAATTTTTGGATAGTCTAGGATATATTTGACTTCTGAGTCAAACCTCGCAAACAAAGAGAATAAAAGGCAGGCAGGAAGGAAAGAAACACAGCCCAAACCTGAGGCCGAGGAACCCATCGGAGGGAGGAGGCTGCTGGCTCAGCGGCCAGTGCCTCCATGACCATGTGTTCCTCTGTGCATGGATGGGAGAGGACCACAACCTCTTAAACCCAGCTTTTTTGTCCATAAAATCTCTCTGCAGCCTTTTCTAAGATGGCCATGTGAAAATATCCTGAACTACCAAGTTTTATACAAGATGCCTGGATAAAATGAAGGAGGGGGGGAAAATGGAGGTTCCAAGGCAACATATTATTTAGCTCAAATAAAGCCACATAGAAACCTGATTTCACAAAAATAAAGTTATTTGAATGGTCCCTTGGGTCTAAGTTCAACACGACCTAATTTTGGTCTAAATATCTTTTAATGAAAGAGGCTTGAAATACTTCTTTCAAATTGGCCTCCAGTTTAAAGCTTGAGGACTTTATGTTTGTTCTGAAGGAATCTAGGTGCTGCCTCTAGAATGTATGGGATACTTTCCTTTTTGGAGAAGCGTAAGGCCACATTTACCCATCGGTGATTTATCGAAGTATTTTCTATGTGTCAGGCATGGCGTCCGAACTGGGGATACGAAAGAATTTGCTATCTAGTGGGAGGAGAGAGAAACTTAGGAGATAATTTCAATGCAAGGGTGCTCAGGGCAACAACAGAATTATGCATAGGACATCCTGAAAAACATAGACGTGTCAATTCCCTGTGAGGGTGGGGAGGGACTGGGGAGGCTGATGGTAAAGTGGGCAAGAACATTCCAGGCATCGAGGACCTCAGGGGCAAAGTCCTGAAGGCAGAAATCAAGCAAGATGTGTGATGGAGGAAGTGAGGCTGGAAGAGGAAACAAATAGGCTCAGTCGTGGAGTTTCTGGTGGGCAAAGGAGTTTGGACTTCATCCTGTGGGTAATGAGTCACTGGAAGCTTTTAAGCCTCTAGTGTGGTTCGATTTGCATTTTAGATAGACTTTTCTGGCAGCTGTGTAGGGGGTGGATTTACGAATCACAAAGCCACAGGGAGATCAGTCAGGAGGGTTCTAGAAGAATTCACGCAAGAGATAATAGGTTCATTTTTGTTGTCCTCTTTGTTTTGTTTTGTTTTTTAGAGAGGGAGGGAAGGGAGATGAGGGAGAGAGAGAATCTTAAGCAGACTCCATGCTGAGCACAGAGCTCAATGTGGGGCTCAGTCTCATGACCCTGAGATCATGACCTGAGCTGAAATCAAGAGTCTGATGCTTAACCGACTGAGCCACTGAACCCTCCCACTACAGGAGATAATGGGTTCTGAGTAGTGGGAGACAGGAGGGCAAGGAGCAGACATTTGAAAATTATTTCTGTGTGGGAGAGAAAGAAAAGGGAAGATTCAAGGGTGATTCTCGAATTTTCCCCCATGGGATTGGTCTGGGTATGTAAGTTTTGGAGCCAACATGATGTGCTGGTAGTGAAACCAGGAAAGAGGATAGAATTACCTGGGGGAGTAAAGATTGGTCACATGATGGCACACATAGGAACAATACCAGGTGTCTGGTACACTGGGAGAAGCAGGCCAGGCTGTTCCCAAGGCCCCAGAGGATCAATATCTTGGGAACTCCTCTAACGCCAACTCCCAACACACTGGTTGGGGAAGCTCTGGGGTAAAGATGGAAGTTACAGATGAAAGCCTGGGGAACATCCACATTTGAAGCATTGTCAGAGGAAGAAGAGAGAAATGAAGAAGATAATGTAGAAGAAACAGTTGGAGAAGCACCAGGAAAACCCAGTGGAATAAGGCTTCCAGAGAATTCCGGGGAAGAGATTCCACGAAAGAAGGGAAAAGCATGAAAGGCAGGAGAGAGTGGTCCAGGAAGACAAGGACAGCAGGACTTCCACTGCTTTCAGTTCAGTGGTTGATGTCAACCTTAGCAAGAGAAGCTTTGGAAGTGTAGCTAGAAGCCAGGTCAAGGGTCAAGACAGGGATAGAGACTTCTTCTTGATGTTTGAATGAGAAAGGGAAGCAGGTATTAGATGATGATTGGAGAGAGCTACAAGGTCAAGGAGAGGTTTGCTTATATATATATATTTTTAAAGATTTTATTTATTTATTTGTCAGAGAGAGAGAGAGGGAGAGAGAGCAAGCACAGGCAGACAGAATGGCAGGCAGAGGCAGAGGGAGAAGCAGG